TTTTTTTTTTTTTTTTTTGAACAAGGGCAATTTTGGAGGGATGGGGGGATTGAACGCAGCTCATAGGGCTGGCTGGGAGAGTGCACCGCTGTCCAATCGGCCTGTATGGCCAGGTGCGTTCAAGGAGATGCTCTTGGACACTAGTTTGGTTTGCATCAGCATGGTACTTATGGCTTTGGAGAAACCAAAAGATATTTAAGAATGAGGAAAAATCCCCCGGTGAGGTATTTTGACCTAATCAAATTTAGAACTCTTTCCTGGATTAAAGGTAAAACAAAGATGGATTTGATAGAGAAATTTAGCAAAAATCTACTTTTAGCCTCTTACATTATCAAATTTAAAGGTTTTAGCTCATTACCTTATATTATGATATTTTAACCCTTCACCTTACTAGATTTATAAGTTTTAGCCCCTCACTTATTAAAATCGAAGAAAATAACCCTTATTTTATACTAACTGTTAACTCTGTTAGCTAAAAGTAAGTTTTTATCAATTAACAGTTAACTAATAATCAATTAACAGAATTAATGAAATATTATAAAATTAGTTCTGTTAACTCTGTTAGCTAGAAAAAGGTTTTTATCAGTTAACAGTCAACTAATAGTCAACTAATATAATTAATAATCAGTTAATAGAACTAACAAAATGTTACAAAGTAAAGACTGTTTTTTTTAATTTTAATAGGTGATGAACTAAAAATGTCATAATATAAAATAAGAAATTAAAACCTACAAATCTAGTAAAATGAGAGGTTAAAAGTGTCATAATACAAAGTGAAATTTCACCTAAAACCTTCAAAGTTGATAAGGTAAGGAACTAAAAGTAGTTTTTTACTGAGAAATTTTGGTAAAAAGGTCCAAGGAGGCGCTTAAGTCGGTTAACCGAGTTCTTGGATGTTCGTTTATCCTGTACAACCTTTGTCATTGAGGCTGACAAGAAGTTTTAAGGGAAATTATATTCCGTGTGTCCTTTTGTAAAAAAAATTTTTTTAAATTTTTAACATCCTAAAGTTTACTATTTAATATCGTAAATGGTTATTTTTAACCTTAATTTTAAATTAAAATTTTTATTAAATTAATATGAAGTATTAACTCAATAAAACTCATATTAGTATGATGTTTTATGTTTTTT